GCTGAGTCCAACTGCGCAGACTAAGTCGAACGGCCCATGGATGCGCCAGGGGTTGGCACGAAGAATCGCCCAGAAGATCGCACTGATGATGCGCCCATGGACCCCTAGGTAAAGCACGTGTAAAACATCGAGCACGAATGTCATGGACGGGTAAACGTAAATCGAATTCGAGAACAGCGGGTTCCTGTGGTTGAGAGCGTCGGTGATTGCTTGCCCGCACGTATGCGGTCTCCAAAATGTAGCCACGAAAGGCGTCTGGATGGATGAGAACTCCCCGACGTCGGGAAGTTGGGGCGACGAGACCAAACGGCCCCCAGCTTGAAGGCCGAATTCAGGCACCCCGTGGGACAACGTCCGACCGCGCACCCGATCCAAGCGTTGATCCCAGAAGAGCATGCCCTCACGGATCACCTCTTAAGAGGGGAAAGAGGTGTGGAGGAGAAGCGAGAGGGGTAGGGGTGGGGAGCGGGATGGGGAGGGGGCAGGGGGGGGGGTCGTGGCAAGCAACACGGGGCGGGCAAAACGATAATGGGTCGAGAAAGAGCGGGATGGGAATGACCTTGACACGGTCGGCTTCGTCCGTGATCAACACTTGGACCTCGCACCGTCGGCAAAACAGTTCGTAGTCCGTGTCATCGTCTATGGCCCCCCAGAGATCGTTAAGCAAACCAACTGTGTGATAATCGTGCATGTTGTCTGCGCATGTTTTACAAAAGAAGCACGGGTGCCATCCACTACCTAAGCCTCGCAAACCGAACGTGACGGACTGTTCGACCAAATCACCTTTGATCCAGATGAGCTGGGCTTGGCGCAGCGGGTCGCCCACGCGCGCGCGGCGGTGGTCCATGAGGGGCCACTCTGAATCATCGTGCCTGAGGGGTGGCCTACATCCCTTTGTCAACGCTTCCAAACCCCATTTCATAGTCAGCATGATTGGGTATATAGTACACCAGCCACGACAGCCACACTTACAAAACTCGCTCTTCTTTAGCAGGGCAATCGGGTGACGCCTCTGCGTCTTGATGGTATATGCGAAAACCCCGAGCAACGAATCTGTTTTGCCAACTCTCTCCGAACGGGCGAAACGAATCCCGTCTGCGTAGAGGCACAGCAGCAACGGAGCGGATTGGCGGCCCAACCTGCAAATGCCAGGGTGCCAAGAGTATATGTCGTACCAATCTTGTGTATCAGGGTCCGCTCGCATCACATCTTGCGATAACGCAGGCGTGCACTCTACCTCTTCCTGGATCGCTTCGTAGATCGGGCACGTCGGGATCAGCTTTAGCTCTCGACCCGACTTGCCCCACACAGGTACTTCCAACCAGTAGTATCCAGATGCTGGTTTACGGGGTAGTTTCGTGTCCAAGTGTCTCCGGAAGTTGCCACCTGCGCTGCAATCTGGGTTGAGCCCGTACTGAGCAACGTCCCCCGTGATGCCCCCCTCCTTACAGTACCACGAGATCGAGCACAGGTCCTTCGCAGTCATAGGCCTACTCCCCGCGTACATCTCCAGAAGGTATCGCGCGAGCATGTCCCCTGCATGTTTCTTCCGCTGGGCGTCGGCCTGCGCGGCAGCGCTCCATGGTTGCTGTTGCTGCCAGGGGTTAAACTGATGCATCTGAATGCAGCGGCAGGCAATGCTTGGGCTACATCGGCTACGAGCGTCCCCAGAGGAAGAGATGAGATCACGTTGACCACTGTGCTTCTGACGAGGAAACGCACCTGGGAGGTTTCGGGCTCCAGACAGAACAGGCCCAGGTTTCGGGCCGACGGATGCGTAAAAAAACATCGCACAGGATGCACGCGCCCCGAGGAGCTCAAACACCGAAAGCGACGATCATTCCGAGCACGAATCAACCAGGGGAGAGATCGAACTACAGCCACCCCGCCGTTGTCAGCGCATGTGTTGACACAGCGGCAACCTGGCACGTTCCCCGCGTGCGCTGTCGCCGAGGTCATATATGCGATTGCAAGGGGCACGCGATATGTTGCGCGTCACGATGACGCGCTGTCAAAATCGACTCTGAGTGACGCGTGCCCGCCAGAGCATTCAAAAGCTGATTCACAGCTCGCCTGGACCGACTATTACGTGTGTGCTGTGAATCATGAAAATCAATGAAAATGAATGGAATTCAATGGAATTTCAAGGTATTTTCAAGGTGCGTGCGTGCCATATATATATTTATGGTTTGATAGCGTTTTCAAGAAAAATCAAGGAAACTCAATGGAAAATCAATGGATTTTCAATCACTGTTTTCGTTGTCCAGAATCGGAAATGAGCGCGCAAATTCAAGACCTGTAGGCCCGGGCGATGAATTATTACACCCGTTGAATTATTCTGGGTTCCGGACGACGAATTTCTGCGCGCGTGCTCATTTCCCTGCACCCAACCGATAAATTTGCGCATGTGCGCTGGATTTCCTGGCCGAACCGAGACAAACGGTGCGGTGCACCAACAAGTTCGGGTTCTGCACCTCTCGGTCCTCCCGCTGACCCTCCAAGGCCACCCAGGCGCTTTTGAAATGCCCCAGATACCCCATTCCGCCTTTCCGGCGGGATCTGAGCACGCGTGGTTCTGCTCATGTTCGGAGCTTATATATATATATATATATATATATATATATATATATATAGTTGGTCTGGCTGGTCTCACGCCTGAGGCTGAGCGCCTCCTCCTCCTCCTCCTCCTCCCTCCCCTCCTCTTCCTCCTCCTCTTCCTAGTTCATACGCATCCTCCTCCACCTCAGCTTAGCTCTCATCCTCATCATATGTCATACGCATCATTCGCCTGCTGCTGCTGCTCCTCCTCCTCCTCCTCCTCCTCATCCTCTTCCTCCTCCTCCTCCTCACCATCATCATCCTCGTCATCATCATCATCCTCATCATCCTCATCATCCTCATCCTCATCATCATTGCATCAATCGAACGGGTCGGTTGCCCGATCGCATTCGCAAGTGCTCTGGCGGAGCGTCTGAAATTACGCAATCCTAGCTTTGTGGGCGACCACGCAAGCATGAGCAGAGAATCAGGAGATGGGATTGAAGATGCGTTTGAGGAGGATTTGCGTACGTGGAGGAGTGGGAGGATGATGAGGTGCGACGGTCGAGCAGGAGCGAGAAGAGGATTGTGGTGGGGAGGCGGAGGATGACGATCAGCTCGAGGAGGAGGAAAAGACTAGCAAGTCAAAATGCTTGCACGGCCAGGCAGTCTGTGCGACGACTGCGCCACGGCCCCCCAGACTGATGCGAGAGCTCAGTCTACCCGAACTGACATCACCGTGTTCAGCTGACCTGCTGGTTGCGCATCCTGATGGCGTGCATGTCGCCGATGCTCTCGATCTCCGCCTTCAGCCTGTTCATGCTCGGATTGAGCATGCTGGGCACGTGGGCGATCTCCCTCTCGAAGTACGCGTTGCCACGGGCCCTCTTGATGTAGCTCACGTTCTGCATCAGCAGATCCTTCACAAACGACCCTGGCATCGCCGTCGCCTGAACCTCCTCCAGGGCCCTCTTGAGACCGTGCTTGTTCTGGTTGTTCGCCCAGCTGTACTCGGGCTGGTTCTCGATCGCGTTGATCAGGAGATTCGCCTGGTTGCAGACCTGACCGTACTCGCTGATGGCCTTCATGGCTGCGTCCGTGGTCTTCTTGAGCTCCTTCGCTTTCTGCCTCGGGTCGCTGCTGGCATCTGCGTCTGCGCCACCACCGCCTCCGCCGCCGCCTCCTGCGGCTGCCGCCGCGCGCCTCTGGCGTTTCGCCGTTGGCGACGCGGCCCGCGAGGACTGACCTGATGAGCGCCCGCCCGTGGCCGCCGATGGCCCGACCGTCTTGGGCGCAGACCCCGCCGCTGCAACCCCCTCGGCGGCCGCTGCTGGCGGCGTCTCATTCGGCGGTGCTGGGCGGGGCGCGGCGGGGGCAGCCGCCGCGGGCGTGGCCGCCGCAGAGGCCGCGGGCGCGGCGGGAGCAGCCGCCGCGGGCGTGACCGCCTCAGAGGCAGCGGGCGCGGCGGGGGCAGCCGCCGCGGGCGTGGCCGCCTCAGAGGCCGCGGGCGCGGCGGGGGCTGCCGCCGCGGGCGTGGCCGCCTCAGAGGCCGCGGGCGTCTGCTGCGACGCCCGCCTCGGCGACGCTGGCGCCGCGGGGAGCGCTGCGCTCGCGCGAGGGGCGCCGCCCACCGCCGTGCCGATCTCCTTCAGGATGTCATCTGCCCCCTCGATGGCGGTCTCCACTGCGGCGGTATCGGCGTCGCCCAGCTGCTCCCACTGCTCCCGGGCCTTCTCGAATTCGTACGAGTAGCTCTTCTTCATGCGCAGGAACTCGATCCGCTTCGACTGGCGATTCCAGCGGACCCACGCGTTGCCGAGCTTGATGCACGACATGCATATATTCAAGGCTGCTCTGGCACCTGATGATGTGATGCCCACGCCCGACTCCTTCCCCGCGATCACCTCGAAGGGCTCGTACGAGCCCCAGTCCTGCCAGGCCTCCTCCACGCGCTCGACATAGCTCCGCTTCTTGTTGTACTTCGTGTACTGCTGCTCCAGCCAGTCCATCCTGAACGCTTCCTTGGCAGCGTGCCCCTTGCACGCCTTGTACTTCGCCGTCTCCTCCTCGCTCGACTCCAGGAAGTTTGAGAAGCGCGCTCCGGTGGCGCCCCTGGCGGGGCAGGCGCGAGCCGACCAGGCCGTCTCCAGGACCTTGTCCTGCTTCAGCTTCGGCCTGCTCGGATCGTCTGCGCCTGAGCCCATCTCGTTGAACTCGGCCTGCTTCGCCTTCAGCACATCGCCCTGCTGCGCCGACGCGTGCGCCATCCTCAGCTTCTCGTCGAGCGCCTGCAGCGACTGCGATCCCTCTGCGCCAGCTGAACGCGGGTCGCTCGGCAGCGATTACAGGCCGACTGCGGGCAGGTCACACTGCTCGAGGCCGATGGCGGGCAGGCTCTGCGCCTCGAGGCCGATGGCGGGCAGGCTCTGCGCCTCGAGGCCGATCGCGGGCAGGCTCTGCGCCTCGAGGCCGATGGCGCCCAAATCCGCGGACGCCACGTCGAAGCCCAGCTTCGCCCACCTGGGCGGAGGAGGGGGAGCAACAGCAGCAGCAGCAGGAGAGGAGGAGGAGGAAGAGCAGAGGGAAGTAGAGGAGACGGAGGAGGAGGAGCAGATGGAAGAGGAGGAGGATGAGGAGGAGGAGGAGGAGGAGCTCGGAGGAGGAGCAGCAGTAGGAGGAGGAGGAGGAGTGGAAGGCGCCGTGGCCAGAGGAGGTGCGTAGGAAGGGAATGGTGATGAGGAGGAGGAGGAGGAGGAGGAGAAGGAGGAGGAGGGGGAGGAGGAGGGCTCCTCCTCCTCCTCCTCCTCCTCCTCATTCTCCTCCTCATCCCTGTCTCCCCACTCCTCCCTCACGCTCCTCCCCCCCCCCCCCTCCCCATCCTCATCCTCTCCTCCTGACTCATCCTCCCTTTCGTGTCCCTCCCCCTCCTTCCTCATCCTCCTCATTCATCCTCCTCATCTTCTTGGGCCGCGCCACCTCGCGTCTCCCGGCGGCGGCTGCGCGTCGGGGAGCGGCGACGAGTCGGGGCAGGACTCCTGCGCAACGCAGCGGGGGGGGGGATGAGGATCCAAAAGGGGTCAGAGTGGGAGCGAGGCGAGGGGCGAGGGGATGTGGGGGGTATAGGATAAGGGCGAGGGGTGAGGGGCGAAGGGTCTGGGATGAGGGTTGGCGGGAGTGAGAGGTAGACAGGGGGGGGGTGACGGGTATGGGATGAGAGGCGAGATGATGGGGATGAGTGGCGAGGGCTATGCGTCGTTGGAATGCGGTTGGTGATGGTGGTGTGGTGATGGCGACGGTGCCGACGTTGTCGATGATAGTGATGGTGGATGTGGTGTAGGTGGTGATGCTGCCGTGGTGGTGGTGGTGATGCTGATCGCGGTGATGGTGATGGCGATGGTGATGGTGGTGGTGAGGGATGCGATGGCGATGGCGATGGCGATGGTGATGGTAATGTGATGATGATGGTGATGGTGATGATGTTGACGATGAGGGCGCTCGTCCGATCCGAGCGGACGTGAGCCGACCACGGGCACCGCGCCACGAAGTCGACCTCAGGCTGCCGCATCGCCCCACTCGCGATGCCACGTTGCCTGAAGATGCCCTGCAGCGTCGCCCCCTACGAGTCGGAGTCGCTCATGTCGTCGACCTGGCTGAGCAGGCCCGCCGACGGCACGATGCGGAGCTGCTCGTTCGCGTCGCCGACGCACCCGCCCGTGACCACGTCGGCGGAGGCCAGCTTCGCGCGCTTGGCGCCGTGCACGATCACGCGCTTGTCGTTCTTCTCGATGCCCTTCTGCACGGACTGCGCGGCGAGCTCCACGGCCTTGCTCTTCGAGGGCGGCGTCGCCTGCGCCTCGGTCGCAGCAGGCGTCTTGCCCGCTGCGCGCGTCCTCGTGGCCGCTGCGGCCTTCGCCTCACTCATGGCGGGCACCGCCACATCGTCGCAGTCGGCCTCATCAGCGGAGCCGCGCTCGCCGTCCACGTTCTCCTCGCCGTCCCCAGCAGCGCCGCCTGCGTGTTTTGTTGTGTTGCCATCCTCCTCTCCCCCTCCTCCTCCTCCTCCTCCTCCTCCTCCTCCTCCTCCTCCTCCCATCCTCATCCTCATCCTCATCCTCCTCCTCCTCCTCCCCCTCCTCCCCCCCCTCCTCCTCCTCCCTCCTCCTCCTCCTCCTCCTCCTCCTCCTCCTCCTCCTCCTCCTCCTCCTCCTCCTCCTCCTCCTCCTCTCCTCCTCCTCCTCCTCCCCCCTCCTCCTCCTCCTCCTCCTCCTCCTCCTCCTCCTCCTCCTCCTCCTCCCTCCTCCTCCTCCTCCTCCTCCTCCTCCTCCCCTCATCTCCTCATCCTCCTCCTCCTAATCCCCCTCCTCCTGCTCCTCCTCCTCCTCTCCCCCCTCGTGGCCCCCCTCATCCTCCTCCGCATCCGGCATGAGGAGCCGCTCCCGCACGACCTTCACGCACGTCTCCTCGCTCTCGAAGTACTTCGTGTCGATCTGCGTGATCTGCTCGATGCTCTGGCTGCCGTTCTTCTTGCGCAGCACGCGGGCCAGCCTCGTCTGACCCCTGTCCTTGCACACGGAGACGCGGACCTTGTGTATGCCGTCGGCGCAGTCCGACCACCCGCCACCAGGCGTCGCCCTCGAGTCCACTGGCTTGTGGAAGACCTGCGGGAAGTCCCACGTCGCCGCGTTGTCCTCCCAGAAGGCCTTCATCATGCCGTTGTCGTCGGGGCCCTCGACCTTCTTCGCTGGCTCGGGCTGGCCGTTCCCCTTCGACTGGCAGACGGGGATCCTCACGGGGCCTTGGGTCGTCGTCTCGTCGTACTCGTAGATGTACGCCTGCTCGGCCCCCTCCTCTGGCTGGCTGAAGGTCGCATCCGTCTGGTTGACCCCGAGCTTAGTCAACGGCTCGGCGAACCATGCTGGCCACTTCTTGCGCCCGAATGCCGTGCCTGCGTGGCGGGTCATGGCGCGCAAGCGCGAAGCGTACTCCTCGCTCCACTGCTTCAGGATCCTGCCCTCCACGCCTGGCCACGCACGGTCGGCGCCGATGAGATACAGCGCCCGTTCCGTGGCCTTTTTCCCCGAGCTCATAGTTGGAGAAACGTCCGTGCGGATCTTCATCACGAGCTTGATGTTGTCGGCCATGCGCTGCTTGTCTGGGTTGGACCGCCCGCTGCCCCCAGGGTACGAGAGGAAGTCGGCGGACGTGATGAACTCGTCCACGGCCTTCTGGATGCGAGCCACGTCGTGGCACGCTCGCACGTCGCCCTCGTCCGACATCCTCCGCGGCCGCGGTCGGGGCCTCGCGGCCGCGCGAGAGCTCCAGCCCACTGGAGCCAAAAAATGGCTATGCGGTGCGATGTGATGGTGGACCTGCCCCACCCTATCCCCTCCATCGTGTCCCGAACGATGGTGCACCAAGCCGTGGCCCAGGACGTGCCTCAACCCAGGAGTCCGCCCCACGAAACTGGCCTGGGTGTGGGGGGATAGTGATGAGATTGGGCGTGCGATGTTGTTGACGATGCCGTGGCGGTGGTGATGATGGTACCGAGATCGGGTGCGTGGCGCGGTGATGCTGATGTTAATGATTATGATGTTGTTGTTGCTGTTGATGATAATGATGTTGATGATGATGCTGATACTGATGATGATGATTATGATGATGATGATGCTGATGGTGATGATGATGATGATGATGATGATGATGACGGTGATGGTGATGGTGATGGTGATGGTGATGGTGATGATGATGATGATGATGATGATGACGATGACGATGATGATGATGATGATGATGATGATGATGGCGGTGGTGCTGATGGTGAGGGTGATGGTGAGCGTGGTGACGATGATGATGATGAAGTATGATAGTCATGCTGATGCCGATCGCGGTAGCGCCACCGATAAGAGTGATGAGAGGGTAGAGATGGGCGGGGGGGAGTGGGGATGAGGGCTCGGGCGAGGATGTCGAGGGGAAGGAGGTTGAGTAGTCCCCCCCCCCTGCGCGCGTCCTTCGCCGCCGCGCCGCTCGGCGCTGCTGGGGTCGCCTCCACCGCGGCGGGCGCCTGCGCGGGCTGCGCCGCCTCCACCGCGGGGGGCTCCTCCGCGGGCTGCGCCTCCTGCGCGGGGGACTCCTCCACGTACTGCACTGCCTCCACCGCGTCGGGCTCCGTCTCGCACTGCGCCGCCTTCAGCGCGTCGGACTCCTTCGCGCACTGCGCCGCCATCGCCGCGTCGGGCTCCTTCATGCACTGCGCCGCCTCCACCGCGTCGGGCTCCTGCGCGCACTGCGCCGCCTCCACCGCGTCGGGCTCCTGCGCGCGCTGCGCCGCCTCCACCGCGTCGGGCTCCGTCACGCACTGCGCCGCCTCCACCGCGTCGGGCTCTGTCACGCACTGCGCCGCCTTCACCGCGCCCCTGCCGCTGCCGCTGCCGCCCTCCTGCGCGTAAGAGGGGGGGTGGCGAGGGGGTCGCATTGATTTTTCATTGATTTTCCATTGAGTTTCTATTGATTTTCATTGAGTTTTGTTGATTTCCTGATCTGGATGGCTGCGCCACCCCAACTCGGGAAATCAACGCCACTCGACGAACATCAATGAAATCTCAATGGAAACTCAAGTTGGTTTCCCCCTCCTCCTCCTCATCCTCCTGCGTGTCCTCATCCTCATCTCTGTCATCCCTTCCACTTCTCCATGTCTCCTCCTCTATCCTCCCTCCTCCCGCCTCATCACTCCTCCCATGCCCTTGCCCTGCCTCCTCCTCATCCGCCTCCTCTTCCTCCTCCTCGTCCTTTCCCTCCTCCTCCTTATCCTTATCCTTATCCTTATCCTTATCCTTATCCTTATCCTCCTCCTCCTCCTCCTCCTCCTCCTCCTCCCCCTCCTCCTCCTCCTCCTCCTCCTCCTCCTCCCCCTACCTTATCCTGCTCATCATTAGGGAGAGGCGGTGGCAGCATTGGCGGCAGTCCTGCTGGCCGCCGCGGCTGCGCGCCAGGAAGCGCGCGTACGCATGGTTCAGGATGGCCATCTCCTTGTTCTTGCGGTAGAACTCCTCGGTGCATCCAGGCGCGTCGCGCTTGAGCTGGTCCCACTGCGAGCCTGTCCACAGAGCAGCAGGCGAGTCCCAGTTGTCGATCGCCTCCTCGGAATGGGAAATGCGATCATTCAGCTGCTCGACGAGTTCCTCTGTCGATCGATCGATCGATGGTCCGATCTCGGTTAGACCATCGATCGATCGGTCAAGTGAGGATCACATCGAACAGCTGATCGATCGCAATCGGAAGAGCGAAGACCCGTCTCCTGCATCGACGCCAACGTCTCCGCGCTCGCTGCCGCCTGCGGCGCCACCGGCGTCGCCGCGCTGTCGGCCAGCGTCGCCGTGTCCTGGACGTCGATCGGCGTGGCCTGCGCCGCTGCCACTGGCGTGGCAGGCGCCGTCGAAGTCGCCGAGGGCACACCGCTCGCCGA